ATAGGTACATTATCAATAGGTACATTATCAATAGATACATTATCAATAGGTATATTATCAATAGGTATATTATCAATAGGTATTTTATCAATAGGTACATTATCAATAGGTACATTATCAATAGGTATGTTATCAATAGGTACATTATCAATAGGTATATTATCAATAGGTATATTATCAATAGGTACATTATCAATAGGTATATTATCAATAGGTACATTATCAATAGGTACATTATCAATAGATATATTATCAATAGGAATATTATCAATAGGTATATTATCAATAGGTATATTATCAATAGGAATATTATCAATAGGTACATTATCAGTAGGTATATTATCAATAGGTACATTATCAATAGGTACATTATCAATAGGTACATTTAATCTTAATAAATCTGTTTTTATCTGCTCTATACATATTAAAAAAATCATTCTTTACCTTTATGTTTTCTCACTTGTTCCTATCAAAGCAATAAAGTGTGTAGCAGATTTCCTTTGTTACAGAGAAACTTATCCAATTTTCATAATTCTTACAGAGTATCATCTTTGCTCATGCTTGTCACTTGATGAACTCAAACGGATCGGTAGAACTCTTGGTTCTGAGATTAGCAGTCACCAACTCAATCGTGGACCCTTGGATCTATATTTTGCTGCGGAAGGAGACAGTCCTTGGACTACTCAGAATAAAGGCAGTGATCTTTAATTGTTGTGTAGCACACAATAGTTCTGAAAATATTCGTATAGAACAACCTAAGGAAAAATACACCAAAGATCTCTCAACTTCACCGGACGTGGCAACAAAATCTACCTATATAGATTGCATTGGTATTTAGACATTACTCTTTTCTTCTGTTTGTTTCTAATTTTGTCAATTTTACATTAGAAATTGATTACTCAATTTAATTTAAATCTTTTTTGTTTATTAGTTTATGATGGAGATGAATCCTCTGATCCGGAGAAGAGGTTTAGTAGAAGAGAGGCTGACAACTCTGTGTTCACTGTAGAACACATATAAATACAGACCTGTGCTCTTTGTAGAGAGATGCGGATTAGTGGGAGATTTCCCATAATAATATAGATTATTTATTTAAAAATCAATCATTTTAGTATTGCATTATAACGAATATCGTTGCACATATTTTTTCTTTGTTGTTTAATATAAATATACGCATATTTTAAATGTACATCTAAAACATAACAGAACATGTTGTCAATAAGATCTCTAGGTTTGTTTTAGGACTATGGGTATTAAAGTTAAACTTTATTTAATTTTAACACGCACTACTCTCAGCTCTTTCCCCCAGAGAAGAAAAAACCTTTACTCTGATTTCGGGGATATTTATATAGTTACACAATTTATGTCTACTAGGATAGGCAGCTTTTCATTGTAAATATTCAGTTTTTTGTCTTCATTTTATCTTAGTAGACATACTAGGTAATATGTATTATTATATAGCTAATGAATAGTCTATAATGATAAAAAAACTACTAAAAGTCTACAGAATTTTAGCGTTCAATATCTTGGCATTTTATTGAACGCTTAGTTTGCATTACGTATACGAGTATGTCTAGAAAACATTCGGAATGCGGGCGTTCAATATCGAACGCTCCGTTGTAAAACAACGTGTGGTCAATCGCTCATCGCAATTTTTATGAAGAGTAATGGCAGCTAAGTAAGATGTGTATATTTTCACACAAAATTGAAATTATTAATTAATAATTTAGTATATATTAGCCTCAATAAAAATCTCAATAAACAAACCATAACGTTTAGTAGGGTCATTGGAATGATGTGATATTGAACACTTACAGGACAGACGCTGATATTGCACAGTTCTAATTTGAAAACTGTTACTGAAAAATTCTTGCACCGTTCTAATTTGAAAACTGTTACTGAAAAATTCTCATTAATTTTGAGTTATTTAATTGCAATCATTAATATAAATCAGTGGAAAATGTTTAAGCTATATACTAAAGGAGTTATCGAACTTATATTGTCTTTGGCTATACAAATGCACTCGCAAGCCCGTGCGTTAACCCTATAATATGGTAATTTAGGTACATGCACGTTTGACTCCAGTTGATTAAATTAAATGTTTAAGAATCAGTGAGAACTTGTATTAGATATGCATAACTGTTCAATTTTGGTTGAACCGCGCACAGTGCTTAATTAATATGTTGTTGATTTGCCAGATCCTTAAGTTGTTATTGCTAGCTTTGTCTGTGTAGTGTGTGTATGTGGTTTTAAGGGGGGGGGGGTCTTAACTGGTATCGTTGCAACCACTTTTTTGGAAAACGTCGTCGAATAGTCCTAGCAATTTCTTGCATTAAAATGCACCATAATCAATGTAATCTACTAGTATGTTAATTAAAGTAGAAATAATTATTTACTATTCTTAACTGATTTGCATATACATAGGTACACGCTGCACCAGTTGGGGACACGGCATTCATTCTAACCAGTGTTAAGGCCTGATATCCCTGCTATACCTGTCAGGGCCATATGTGCTCCATAACTCCAAGAAACCCATGCATATAAAATAATCTCCCAAAACGTTAACCTCGCCGTAACTCAATGCTTGGTGTTCAAATGAAACTAATTTGGAAAATTTATATTTAGTCAATGTGTCATGAAAAATGATGAAAATAGCCAGTTTTCATTGTATTATGTATGCCATATTCTCTCACACATGAGTTTTTCGAATCAATTGATATAATTTTGTTCAAAATTACATATGCACAAACCTATTAATCATTTTTTTATACATAACCTGGTATAAATTGTTGTTGCTTTGATCGTGCCGCGATTTTTAACGCTTCATACTGTATTTTTGGGTTGTACCTGCAAATAATCCTTTATGTTGTGACTTTGTTCCTAAATATTTTTTTGGTAATCTTCGTAGTATATTCTTGCCAATTTTTTTTTATTTTATTTAACAAGAGTTTATTTAACAGAGTTCTTGCTCTTTGCTCACAATCCATTCCATGTCCTACACTGAGATACCGTCAGTCTTCTTAAGAGATAATTGATGATATTTCATATATTTATACTTCTTTCCGTATGTTTTTTATCTTTCCCACTTTGATTTTATTGTTAGAACACTACCATGTTCTATTCATATCATGAAAAAGCTTTAAATAAGAAAAATTCTTTTTTTTTTTAAAAAATACACACTTTAAAAGTTCTGTAAACATATTTGTTCCAGTATTGAGACTTCAAAAAAGCAACGTATTTTTAACAATTAACTTCAACTCGACATTTGGATATATCGACGACGTATTATAAATTGACGATAGTTACTTCCATTCACATGTCGACTCGATATATCCCAATGGACTTGAAATAGTCTAACACATCTGTTTCATATTTGGATATTTTACTAGGTCTAGGAAAAGATGTTAAAGGTAACCTTAAAACAAAACCTTATGAACTTCCCTTACCTATGTAACAATATACTCTTATCATCTGCATATGGGGTTTATATCTGATCCCACCTCTGATGTGTTTTAAAAGTCCGTGTTTTCTCTGCTCCCGATTGTATATTGTTTCAATCGACTTCTGATCTTGATTACTGCTCGTTATCTCCATATTTCATTCTACCCCTGATCTCATTCTTCAATTCATATCCGAACTAAAATGTTTTTTGATACCGCGTGTTCCACTGGTTTGAGTTTTGGTGAATAAATTGAACTGCTTAACTTCATGCGTTCTGATTTAATGAACAAATTTTAATAGCATCCACCATACTTCAACCAAACTAACAACCAAACTTTTATATCGTGTACTTCCCTCCTTTGAGTAACAATATTAATTCCATTATCATCTGCAGGCATATGAGGTCTATGTCTCCCAGTTGATTCTATACGAAAAAGTATATTCTTCGTACGAACAATTTCTAAAACGATGCAAACTATTGACAAAATAGTTGATGATAGAAGAATGATACAATCTTGTTTAAGGTCAATATTCGCCAACTATATTGCGATACAATGACCTTGGTTGCAAACAAAGTCTTCCGGTAGGTCGAAGGTTGACTAAGGTCTTTCATACAAATTGGAAGGCCATTAGTTTCATATTAAATAGGCTACGGATTTCTCCGTCTACCCGATGAGGACGAAGGGCACACAGCTGGTAACCAGTCAAAAGGGGATGATTACTCCCCCATGGCACTTGATCCAACCAGATCTGTTTTTGTTCTGCTCACAATTAGTATTGTTTCATTAGATTTTTAGCTTGATTATTGTTCGGAATCATTACATTTCATCTTTAAGATATAACTAAGGCCCGTTCAAGATACCCTTAGGCTATTCCTCAGGATTCAGTAAAATTATGATAAAGCATATTCAATTAATTTCAATTTTTGTACTATCATAACTTACTATATTATTTTTTTTTTGAAAGACAGATTTTAAAGCCATGTAGACTTCTTTTGTTATGTTTATCTTTCATGAACAAGAGACCAAAGGCCTCAATCATACAGGATATATACTTTAAATTAGATATTATGTCTTTAACATGTTTCATTTTTGAAATCAGGAATAAAAAGCCGAACTTAAACAAGATCTTGTTTCGCATCTATAGAATTCTACTACCGGGTATAATGAAACCTCGCGATCTTTAAAACAGAGATAAATGTTGTCAGATTTAGGTACAGGGACAGGCATTTTTGTGATGAGTTCTTAAGTACACTGTCACATAATCAATATTCATGAAACCCATGAAGACTGTTATTTATGCAGGAGAATTGTCATTTATGAAATGTCATCTGTATAATAGTTATATGACGTCTTATAAATTTTCCTTTTTGTACTTGATGCAATCAATAAATTGAGGATGTAAAACTTTTTATTTAATCAAGCGCCTATTGCAATTACAATAGGCCCTGGGAGACACGGTCACTTAAGAGTAATATCTAAGAAACCAATAAAAGATGTAATTGAGAACTTCAGACGAGACTGATTTTTGATCTAGAGATCTGCAGATTGCGGACGATTATGAACGATAGTAACGTCTCTGGTATGGTCTGGGAATCGGCTGTTCCGCCATCGTTGCAATTTGCTTTTGGAGTAACTGGAAACATTACTGCTTTATTAATATTAGTTTGTTCATCAACGACACACAAATGGCAGACGTTCTACAAACTTGTTGCAGGACTAGCATTAACGGATGGCGGGGGCATTCTGCTTATGTATCCGCCCATCCTAGCTCGATATGCAACGGATTTTACCTTTCACTTTCCAGAAAATTTGTGTGCCTACAATTCTTTTCTTACTCCTTTCACTATTTTATCGTCTGCTTTGATTGTCTGTGCTATGTCCATAGATCGCTTTATGGCTGTCTATTTTCCTTTCTACTACAGGGTGTTTCATAATATATGTTACATTTTTAAATCTAATTATTTTTCTTACCTATCATATTTCTATTACAAACTATATATCATTTTTTACATCAAATCCTGCATTTTTATTCCATATGAAAAAGTTAAAGAAATCATGGTAATACAATGATTAATTGTGACATAAATGCCGATGTCATAATTTGAATATTTTTCGAAATGGACTTAACTTATCAACATATTGCTGAATTGTAAAGCTGTTTTTTTTTTCAATACGTTTCGCCAATATTCATTCAGAAGTTGATTAAGGAAATATTCCAAAGAATGGAAGCTCTTTAGGATGCTAAAAATATCAGAAGGCTAGACAAGGTTAAAGGACAGGGACGGGTAATATGCGATAAATGACACAATAACTCCAGAAAGCCTAAAGACTTCAAGAACCGAAGATTTAATTGGTGAAGTGGAGACTCTTAGATAGTTTAGCTAACTCCTGAGAAAACTGTCAGACGGAGGTTTTCAGGAATTGATGCTGTCAATATCAGCATTTCCATCATATATTGAACTTTGAAATATGATATGAAGTTATCAGCGTACAAATTTTCAATAATGCAATACCCGAAGAAAAGAGTTTGCTCTCTGCATTCACCAATCACAATCTTTGGGCTTTTTTCTGTGGGGGGTCTTTAGGAACAGGGTCTACAATCCTAGACAACAGATACTGAATGAGCTCAAAAGAAACAAACCTTCAAATGAGGAGTGTCTAAGCAAAAATTTATGACAAGGTTATACAAATTTCGAGAAGCAACTTTCATTTGTAGGTGTAATAGTGGAGGTCATTAAGAACATGCAACGTGGACTTTTGACGTTTTGAAATTCAACGTAACAAAAATGACGTAATTTAGAAATTTCACTAATTTTCATTAATGTTTGAGATTTCGTCCAGTTTTTAATATTTTAGTTGGTAATTGTACATAATGAATCTTATGGATATATGCATCAAGTTGATAAAAACACTTGTGTGTATCTTTTTCTTGTGTTTGTTAAATAGAAGATTCAAAATGTAACATATATTATGAAACACCCTGTACAACGTGGAAAAGGGTGACAGAAAGCGCGCTGTGTTTGCGCTTCTATTCATATGGACAGGTGGAGCCTTGATTTCCAGCCTACATCTAATGGGACTGGGCTCAGTCTACTATTTTTATCCGGGTTCTTGGTGTTTCCTGAATTTCGTCAGTGACGATACTTTTGACCGTGTGAACGCCTCTATATACTCAGGTCTGGGACTACTGGCACTCTTCGTGACAGTGTTCCTGAACATCTCAGTCATAGCGGCGCTTGTAAAGGGTTTTAATCATACTGAAGGTCATCTCCGTCGCGTCAAAAAAGATGTCTACAACATCGTTTTTCTTTCTGCTATTGTTCTTGTCTCGGGACTTTGCTTGACTCCATTAATGGTACGTTAAAAAAGTTCAAAGATGTTATACCAATAATTGTAAGAACATTAGAGACTTAGCTTTTATGCATCATGATGCAAATTTAAAAGATCTATTAAATATATAATGAAGGATTAATGGGCATATTTACTCTTAGTATCTATATTTCTCTATTTAGATATAAGTTGAGAACAAAGAATGATACTAAAATATATTTTTATAATATTACATGCAATAACATAGCAGATTAAGTATATGAATTATGTGATATGTATAACAGATTTTCCACGTTTTAGGAAGTTACGTATGATTGTTAACATGATTCCTCTTTCAGATGGCGTCCGTTTTCTAGTAGTATGGACATTCTGGGGTTTTTTTTTCGATGAAATATGAAGATAACGAACAGTATTCAATCTCGAAAGTCCAATGAAACGATACAAATTTGGAGCAGAGCAAACATTGAACTCAAAATTTAGAGGTGGGATCAGGTGCCATGGAGGAGTGAGCATCCCCAAACGGTCACACACGCCGTGTGCTCCTTGTCATGATCGGGAAAAAACGGAAAAATCCGTAGACAGTTCAGTGTATAAATAATGGCCTAACAATTAGTATGAAAAACGTCAATCAGCATTTGACTCAATGGTAGGTTGTATGAGCTGACAAGGTCATTGTATCGACCGCAAAACTTGCGAAAAGATGACTTAAACGAGACTGTTGATATCCTTGTTCCATCAACTTGTTTGTCAATAGCTTGCCTCGTTTTAGAAATTGTTTATACGTAGAGCATGCTCTTGCGTATCGAATCAATTGAGAGACATAAACCCCATATGCAGGTGAAAAGGATATATTGCTACATAAGTAAGGAAAGTTGACGATTGAAAAGTTGATTGATTATCATCAAGCTTTGTAGTTAGGTTACCATTAACGTCTTTCTCTAGTAAAATATGTAGATGAAACAGATGTGTCAGAATCTGTGGTATCTTTTATTTCAAGCTCACTGGGATATATCGAGTCGACATATGAATGAAAGTAACTATTGTTAATTGATGATACGTCGTCGAAAAATCGAAATATCAAGTTGAAGGCCACAGCAAGTGTTCTTTTCTTCTAATGTAGAAGTTTTCGAATTAATTCTGTTTCATATGAATGCAAAAATAGGTCTCCTAATAAGAAGCACAATTGGTACCCATGGAAATTCCAACAGATTGTTTGGAAGACCTGATCTCCAAAACTACATAGATATTGTCAATCAGAAACTCAAGCAACCTTTTTAATATTAACTTCAGAGTACTTGAATGTACAATCAGAGTGCTTTTTAACAAAATAATTTTGTAAATGACCTATGACAAGGTAAGTATATTTACGAGTTCCATTTTATTTAAAAGCAGCTTCTATGATGTTCAAAGGCTTGAAAAGTCGTACGTTTTAATGCTATTGATTTTGGTAAAATTTTGTGATTTCAAATTTTCCAAAAGTTCTTTGGAGTTTTTAAGTTAAAACAGATGCAATCCTGACTCTTAGGCTTATCAACATTACAGAAGCATAATTCCTTTGTATGAAATTCTTAGCTTCGATGTATATGAGTGAAAATGTAGAAATTTTAAAAGTGTTTTCCTTTGCAAATATCCAATCTCTTAATATTCTCATTCAGGGGCCACTTCTTGAACATTTAAGATTTACTTTTTATTACTTTTCATCAAAATACTTACATTTTAATTTGATCAATGGAAGATATGGTCTTTTGTGAGAAAATATCTAGTAAAACTTCCAGATTGATTTATTGTTTAACGCCGAGTCGGCAATATTTCAGTCATATTTCGGCGGAAAAAACTTCCAGTAAAGTGTTCATTTATATGCAAATTCTGTACCACTGTTTGCTACTTCATCCTGATAACTGGGACCTTGCATTGATTTAAAAAAAAATCTGCTTATCTATTGCAAACAATTTTAAATATTCCTACCCTGTCCCTTCTTTTATTTTTAATTATCTCAGATGAAATTGAGGCATGACCCCTCAATTGAATAAGCTTAATTAGCCTTAACCAAAGGACGTTTTGTTCCAATTTCTCTACTACATAGACCCATTTTACGGAGAATGTTAAAATCATCTCTGATCGATAAGACGATAGTCATGTATGCAAACAAGGGAATTTCACTAGTCTATCGCACAAAAAAGATAAGCATAAAATATTATTTCCATAGTAATTTTTTTTCAGTGGAGAATATGTTCTATTGCCTGGAAATTAAGCAGTGAAAATCAGGGAACAGAACTTCTTGTTTTGAGATTAGCTGTAACTAACTCCATAGTGGATCCATGGATTTATATACTGCTGCGGAAGGAGACAGTAAAATACCTTCACAAAAAACTAGTGCAGTGTAAATATTGTGTTGATCAGAACTAACAATTTACATTAATTTAAAAAAAATCATTTCAAGAATCTCTTGGGTGAAAACTGTTTTCTGAGAGTGCATCCAAATCATACCCAAAAACAAGTGAAATGTGAACGTAAGAACATCCAGCTTTCGAAGTAAATTTCAAGTAAAATTATGGTTTGTAAAAGAGAGATCCACGACAAAGCTCCCATTTCACGATGCTCAGTTTTTTCCCTTCAGTGTGATGCATGAATTGTGCATAATTTCAACCCCACTTTTTGTACCAAAAAAAAATTGAAAAATCTGGATGGTAGGTTTATATAATGTACCTTCATTTTACTTTTTTATTTAGTGAAACAGATCCAACTTATTGACCTTACGTACATGTTTAACCTTGAAGCACTTTTACGTCAGGGTTAAAACTTTAGTGCTTACAGGTAATTATTTATAAAGCGATGTTTATTTTTTGTTTGTGATTTCGGTGACTGACGATCTAAAGGGAATGTGGTCTAATTTAAAAGTGAATTGATGATATTTGTTTTCAAAGTTTTGGTGTTGGAATAAGAAATTATAATTTGGAAATTAGGAGAAGAAATATGTACTTGGAGTGTTGTGAACGTTACTTTTGATTACCTTGCGTGACTGTGTGACTATGTGACTCCCCCTCCCCCCCCCCCCCCACCCATCCTTCAAAAAACATACACATACAGAATATATGTACTATGTACCCTTAGTGTAATTATTGTTCTATTGCATTAATTTTATTTTCTTCGGTTGTTTTTTTTTGCGGATAATATAGAACAAGTAAACATATCTTGTCAAAATGTTTCTGAGGGATTTGTATGAGAGGAGGTCATTTTATCCGATTTCCCCAGAGACTTCCAATGGCCATTGTCCTGTATAAAATGGGTCAATGGGTCAAATGTTCCGGGATAAAAATGATGTCAGTTCATTTGTAGGCGGTATTTTTTTTTTTTAGAGTTTATTAAGCGGGAATTCTCTTATCAATTTCATACCACGGAGTTCTAGCCCCATCTTAATCTGATTCTGTTTCATAGATGTTCTAAACCCTGAGTTATTTACAACATCAAATTGTTTTACTCCGGAAGATGTTGTTGACATATAGCAAGTTTTGTAAATTCATTACCTAGAAATCAATATTTACAATATCAGCAACTTAAGTGTTTTCTTAATGCTCGTATCAGAATGAACACAAAATACAAATATGCGTTTTGTATACCAGAGCATATAAATCTTTATTCCATATAAATACGTGTTAAAAATACACAATATACATTCTTAAAAAATGTCGTTATATATGTTATATATAAAAAAACGAGCCAACTCATGATAATTTTATCGACATTGTAGGAAATCAAATGAAGACAATATAGCACTTTTTATCTGGAAGCTAATATTTACAAAAACTTAAGGATATCGTGAGATCAATGATAGTGCTTGAGTTTAACTGAGGACGAATATCCAACACACAGTACAATCTCAGATACCTTCAAGTGTTTCCTTTGGGTATGTTTATACATCCTCTTACGTAGGGTCACAAAACTGGAACAACAGTTGACGTGTTGTCGCTTAGAGAAATGCTTTTATGCTAAAAGGGCATGATTAATAATTCAATTTTAAATAGAGCATTTACAAATATCAAAAAGTTATCAAATGAGTTTACCTGTAATGATATTTTCAATCTAAATATAATATTTCAATATAATAAAGAAGTAAAATGTATCTTTTACAATAGATTTTTAGGAATATACATCAAGATTGGACGGCTTAGTATCTCGTACGTACGGCTTAGTATCTCGTACGTGTGTTTTATTATCTCGTACGTACGACTTACATGTAGTATCTCGTATACATACAATACATCATCTCGTACGTACAACTTTGAATAAAATATTTTCAATTGGCAGCAATACGTTTCCGTAGGATTGAGCTACAGGTCTTTTCGTGATAATGATGATGCATTCTTTTGTAACACTTTTACATCCTACGACCCCCGAAACAATGTATCCATACTTTGTCTCGCCCCTGGGCCACTGCTTTTGAAAACGAGATATCCTGTTTTGTGTAGTATCTCCTTTTCAATGAAGCAATAGTGTTTGAACGGGTTGCCTTCATTTATAATGATTACAGAGGTACCGTTATCTTAAAATCCCGATGTTACCTAGAAATTGGCAAAACGTTCAGACGAAAAGACAAACGCAAATTTCTTGCATCATAGACTGTATTTCTTTCTACAACTGCGATCGCGATGCCAATATAAATAGATATATGCCTTTAAAATGAATGCCACGGAGACCCGCGTTTGGGAGTCAATAGTTCCCCCTGCTATACAGTTTACATTAGGGATCCTGGGTAATGGAATCGCATTAACTGTGATTTTTCTCTCTACACATCAACACAAATGGCGGCCTTTTTATCGCTTGGTAGCAGCCCTGGCATTCACTGACGGCGGAGGAATACTTTTGGTGTATCCGACAGTAATGATCCGGTACACTAGTAATTTTTCCTACAAGTTTCCGGACGCTTTGTGTGGGTACAGTTCTTTCATTTTCTCCTTCACCATTTTGTGTTCTGCTATGCTCATTTTTGCCATGTCCTTAGATAGATTCATGGCAATAGTTTTTCCGTTTACGTATAAATCAGGAAACAAATATCGCCGTGTTAACATCACTTTGATCGTCATTTTTTCGTCCAGTGCCTTCGTCTGTATGTTACATCTAGTTGGCGTAGGATCTACCTATAATTTTTATCCGGGTTCCTGGTGCTTCTTTGATTTCGTCGGAAAGTCCCCTGGTGATATAGCTAATTCCTGCATTTATTCATTAATAGGCCTTGCTCTGCTTTTTACAACATTTCTCTTGAACATAGTTGTGATTGTAAATCTTTGTCAGAATAAAGGAAACCGGAACCGGAAGAAGAACATCGTATTTCTAATGACGCTTCTCACCCTGATCAGCCTGCTTTGGACGCCTCTTATCGTAAGTATGGAATTAATTCAAAATGAATTGGAGAAATATGAGATGATATTATAAATACAATTAGTTTAGATTCGTTCGATTATCAAAACAGATTTAAAAGTAAAACAACATCGAGTTTCGTAGATGATTTAGTAAGGCATCGATTATACTATATGGATAATATTACTTTGATCAGACGTGACGTATTTCTTATTCTAAGAATAAACATGTATATGGTTTCCCATTTAGTCATCGTCTCATAATACGCAAAAAAGGTTCTTCATAATATCCAATGATAATTATATCAGGGGTTTCCCATAACGTCATCTTCCCATAATAGAAAAAAAATGAAATGTGAAAAGGTTTCCCATGACATCAGTCCACCAAACATATTTTATTTTCTAAGACTAATGTTTAGAAAATAAAAGATATCAATCTTGGACAGTTTCATGTTGTGGAATATCTATATGACATAAATCACATTTTATTTCAGATTGTGATATTAGCCCACGCTGTAGGAGAGATGTCGGGACAGGGTAATAGGGAACTGCTTGTTCTCCGGCTAGCCGTTTCTAACTCCATCGTAGATCCCTGGATTTATATACTGATACGGAAAGAAACATTGGAAGCTGTCAGACGATTCTTGAAATTTACCCAAGGGAACTTGTATGGCCTCTGTCTATCACCGAAGAAGATTGCAGTGTCGAAGAAATTATCTTCCGAGTCACGATCTCAATGTATAGCAGAGACGCCTGGAGCCATCTCATCCAAAACAGTAACGCAGACAAATTTTTAATTATCCTAATATACCAACAAAGAATGTCAAAACGGGAGCCATCTCATCCAAAACTGTAACGCAGACAAACCTTTAATTATCCTCAGAATGTACCAAAAAAAATGTCACAATGGGAGCAAACAGGAACATAGACAAACCATTAATTATCCTCCAAATATATCAACAAAGAATTCATAACTGTAGCCATTCCAAAACAGTAACATAGACAAATCCTCCATTTATCATTAGAGAAAATCACGTCTGAAGCCATCTCATATTAAACGAACAAACTCTTAAATATCCCCCAAATATATAAGTAAAGAATGTTTCGTCTAAGGTCATTCCGTTAAAATTAGTAATACAAACCTTTGATTATCCTCCAAATATATCAGTAGAGAATGCTACATCTATAGGCATCTGGTCAAAACTAGTAACACAAACATTTAATTATCCTCCAAATATATTGGTAGAGAATGCTACATCCATAGGCATCTGGTCAAAATTAGTAACACAAACATTTAATTATCCTCCAAATATATCGGTAGAGAATGCTACATTCTGAATGCATTTTGTCAAAATCATAACATTCCCCAAATATATCAGTAAAGAATGCTACAAATAATTTTGTCACGGTGTAGGAAACTAAGTCAAATATAGACAGCTGAGGTAAATATTAGTTTACCCAACGTTGTCTTTAATAACTAATTATCAAAGCGTACAATAATTTTATGGTCATTTCATTTCGACACCATAAAAAATTAATTACGGTAGTGCAAAATATAAAGGAAGTTCTAAAACTGCTTACTGAAGAGTTCTTAGTTCTTGGTAGTTTATGCAGCTGCCATCTGCTCTTTAGTGTAAAATGAAAAAAAGGCGGAAATCTATAGTATATGAAACCATTTGAAATATATCGAATATTCTTTACATGAAATTAGACCAGAATAAAGTAGCTGAATACAATATTTTCATCTATAGTCTCAATGTATGCAAACATCAGTGATTTCTTTTCACTAAAACGTTTTTCCTAGGAATATATGTCAAGTACCCTTTGTTTAAAATGAACTAGATCAGTATGAACACCTTTACAATATTAAGATTTTTTTAAGTTCAGAAAACATTATTAGTATTTAGAGCTTCTTTAAATAATTAGACTGATCTATTCATGAAATGTTTGAATATTTGCGATGTCTTTTTTATATCTGTATAAAGAGGAGAATGCAATATGTAAAGATAACGGAGAATGATCAATCTCAAAAAATCTATAAACAAAACACGG